TGTTGGTGATGTTGCCAAGAGAAAACAGTATCTATTAACATAAAAGGATTACTTTCCCCGAAAACAAAAAAGTACTGTGTCTCTTGGCATGGCATCTACTTTAAACCCGGCATACCTAGCCATTCTGCCCCTTTCTGCCACTAATGGATTTATGTGACACAAACTCTTGCTTGGTAGATCAAGGAGCTTCAAGACTCTTGAAGACAAACATTAACTGTGGCTTTTTCCTTCTTGGCAATTCCGTTAATTTATCATTACTATTTCCTTACGAATAGTAATAATCACTTGTGCCAATATATTGCTAAGTCACCTTGTCCATGTTAACAATGGCTTCTGAGATACAGAGGATTTTGCAGATCAAATCCATCACCACTAGTTCTAAAATTCAGAACAAAATCTGAGGGGAAACTAAATTTCCACAATTTCAGACTATCTTCTCAAAAGTAGTTCATAACACTCATTACAAAGACAGGGCAGGAAGCTGGAAGTTCATGATTAAACCCAGTTACTAACATAAACATCTTCAGTAATATGGCTGACAGAGTGCATTAGCTACTTTGAAAAATGCATGTAAGATATGGATTTCTACAATATTCCTACCAAAAATTCAAAACCTCTTCATAAGACAAAAAACAAATATACACATCCAAAGTGAGAATTATTTCACAGAACTGCTTGCCTACAAAAGAATCCAGGTGGTGAAAACAAAGACTTGCTACACACACACACACACACACACACACACACACACACACACACACACACACCAAGAAACTAGCAAGATAGAACAGTTAATTACAAAGATAAACTGGTGAAGTTCAGGTCAAGATTTCAACCAGAAAAACAATGGTTTGCTAATACTTATTTCTTATTCTTGATAATTATTATATTTCTACATAAAAGGCAACATAATAAAAATGGTATATAGTATTATAAGGAATTTATATACTATATTTTCATCTTGAATAAAGTTACTTCAGAGTAAAGACTACTGTTTTAAAAGTTTAGGGGATGGACAGAACGTTTAGTGGTTAAAATGGCATACTGCTCTTGAAAAGGACTGGAATTCAGTTCCCAGATTGCATACAAGACAGCTCACAATTGCCTGTAGCTCTAATTCCAGGGTATGATCTCTTCTGGCCTTTATAGGTGTTTCACACACACACACATACCCAACACACACACACACACACACACACACACACACACACAAACACATACACACACTGCTACCTACCTACCTAAAAATAAAAAGAAAAGAATCAAAGATTGGTAGCTGAGGAGATTCTCAGTGGATTAAAAAAATTGAGATATGTACCTAAAACCCAGCATTGTGCAGCAGAGATAGGCAGATTCCCCAAAGCTCATTGGCCAGCCACCCCAGTCCAAACACAAAACAATGAGTTTTACTTTTATTGAGATACCTTGTCTCAAAAAATAACATGATAATCAATAGGAAAGAATAATAGATGCCCTCCTCCAGCATCTGCATGTGACTGCATGGGATTACCACCATATACATATAAATATATTACAAAAAATACAAAATAAAATCAAAGCTTGTAGAGAAGACGTAATAGATGCCAAAAGTGTAGCAAGTACTGTTGTACACGTGTGCAGCAAATGGTCTGTGATATTTGCACCTATTATCATTCACATATAAAGGATATTGGAAGGCAAAACTGGATGAGATTTGTAACCTTCTATGACCTGGGAGAGGTACAAGTGTGCGATCGTGTCATCCTATTCCAGCCTCCATAATGAAGTGAGTCATAAATGGAATCTTCTTTCCATAGAAAATTATCACAACTGAAAGAGGCTCGTGAGAAACATGCAGCTTCTCAGGAGGATAACTCCTGCCCCTGCTCTATGTGGGATACATCTCATTATATTTAGATGGATTTCCTCAGCTTCATGACTTACTGCAAAATTACTGAGAATGTTTGGTTGAAGGAGAACATGTGAAACACTTTACCAGCAACCTGGAGTAGATGCTGGGCAGAGGCCTTCCCAGTATTCCACAGAGCTCTCATCCCCTTGCCTTGCTTTGTAGGTTGCCATGTTCACGTCGTTCCCTCTGTTTGGTTAGCAACAGTTGTTGTCTTAATAGAAGTAATAACGAAAATGATAATAATAAAAATAAGTACTTGTTGAGGTCCTCTTGGCCCAAGTACACTTTTAAGTGATTCATGCGCACAAATGTTTAACTCTCTGGCCTAATTGTGAACCCATTTTGTAGATGAGTAAATGGAGGCATGTTAGAAAATAAATTAGTTGTTGAAGAGAGGGAGGAGGGGTTGTACGAGTCAGGGTGGTCAAGGGCACAATGGGGAAACCCCCAGAGACTGCTGACCTGAATTTGTGGGAGCTCACAGAGTCTGAACCAACATCTAGCGGGCCTGCATTGGGTCTCACCTAGGCCCTCTGCATGTGTCTGACAATTGTGTAGCTTGGTCTGTTTGTGGGGCTCCTAGCAGTGGGATCGGGACCTGTGCTTGGCACTTGAGCTGGTGTTGGGGAACCTATTCCCCATGCTGGCATGCCTCCCTCAACCTTGATATAGGGGAGGAGCTTGATCCTGCCTCAACTTGATATGCAATGCTTTGTTGACTTCCTTGAAAGGCTGCCTCTCTCTGAAGGGGGCCTGAGGAGGAGTGGATGCTGGGGGAGGAGGGGCACATAGGGGGGACAGAATGGAAGGAGAAAAGGGAGGGATAACTCTGATCAGTATACAAAATGAATGAAAACATTTAATAGAAAATTTTTAAAAAAGAAAATAGATTTGTAAGTAGGCATCCCAGCTTATGTTTCCCATACCTAAGATATTCCAGCCCATTATATTCTGTAGAAATCTGACTTATATTCACTATGTACCAGGAAACTAGACCAAGCAAGAAATGATAATTGAATATGAAACTTGCATTGTGGCAGTATCAAGTGTAAAATACCCGCATGTGTAATTAGTATCCAAGCCTAACTTCTTAACCGGCAGGATTGGAGCCTTCTCATTTTTTGCCAGGATGAGACAGCATTTTTAGTAGGATATTTAACAGCTTTCCAGGCTGCTATCCAATAGACAACCACAGTCAGCATTCTCTCCCTCTCAATATTCCCATACAAGTTGGTCAGATGTCTCATTTACATAATACAAGGCAGATGAGGTATGATTCATTTAGTGATTGTATCCTGCAAATTGCCTTGTCAATACACCCTAAATTTCCTGTAGTCACATATCAGTTCAATGAATTAGAGGACTGTGGCTGTTAAATCTGCTTCTCTGCCGTAGTAATATTGGCTTACTAACTTCATTTAGTATGAACACACACACAGACATTTCCACATATTTATCTATCTAAAACTTATGATCTCTCCTTCAGACTGGTTTAAGGTATTGCTAAAAGTATGTGTTATGAGTCATTGGCCAGATAGCTCAGTTGATAATGACACTTGCCTCCAAGCTTGATCCCTAGAACCCACATGGTTGAGTAAGTTGGTCTTCACTTGGCGACATTATCTGCAAGTCACTTAAGTCATTTCGTCTTTACAAATGAAATAAGCTTTAGGCAAAGTCTTGTTTCTTATGCTATGGGAGTCTGAGACTACAGATGCCTAGAAATAGACTCTGAAGACTCTGTGAGGCTTTCCATTTCATATTCCATGATAACACGCAGCTGAGATGACTGGTTTGTTGTCTGGAAAATTGAGATCACTGAGGATAATTAGATGAGAGACAAGCCTGAAGAGGAAGGAAAAGCCTGAGGCCCGCAGCAGCTGTGGAACAACCGTAGGAAGGAGGCGTCATAGAAGGAGATAGGCTGCTGCCCAGATGAATTCTCCTCTCCCCTTCACTGGGTCTTCCTTGCAGGGTCCAGGTAGGGTGTCTTTTCTGGGTGCTCTGGCTGCTCCCAAGGGTCAGGATCTCTGTGATTGTTTACCTGCCCATATTCCCCAGCAGAGACTAAGCCCCAAGGGAAAGGAACTAAGAAAGCCTCCTATGGATTTGTGTCTTGTGTCTCTAGCATCTGGCTTTAGATTTGGTACTTAGCAGACTGTTTAAAGTAAAATTTGTCACACACACACACAAGAAAAGAAAATGAACAAAACAAAAAATATACCTTACAAACTGGATGTGATGTTTTGAGATGTTGTACTGACCTTTTAAATGTCTATTTGCATTCTAAACCTCCACATAGAATACTTTAAATATACACCATAAAGTTTATTTTTTAAAATTTGTTTGTGGAGAATTACTGTCTCATCAGGAAACATTCCAAGGACACTGATGAGGGATATTGAGAAACTAGTGTCCAAAATGGTAAGGAAGAGTTACTCTAACTGAAATTATCATCCTGGTGAACCTTACTGGTCAAGTCTACGATCAAGACAGGTGGTTATGTTGTATTTGATTGTTCACTAATGGTGCCATTGTAAGGTTAAAAGCAAAGTCAAATGTTATACTGTCTACACTGTCTACAAGTATAGCAGAAGATGATAGATAGATAGATAGATAGATAGGTAGATAGATAGATAGATAGATAGATCAACAACCAGGAATGATTTCATTGATTTTGTTTCTTGCCAGTCATGTTTGGTTCTGTACTATGTCTCTGGGTTATCCAGCCTCTTTGTCCTGGCCCTCCAGGCAGTGTCAGGCATGAGCTCTCATGACTCTGGTCTGAAGTTGGACCAGTCATTTGTTGGTCATTCCCATAAGTTCTGCTTCATCTTTATCGCAGCATATCTTACAGTCAGGACAGACTGTAGTTCAAAAGTCTTGTGGCTGGCTTGATGGAAACTTTACCTTGTTACAGAAGATGACCAATTCAGGTTCTATATTCCCCACTGCTAGGAGTCTTCACTAGGGTCACCCTTGTAGATGTAAGATTTTTATACTTTCACTTGAATATCTACTTTTTAATTGTACAACGCATAATAATCAGGAAACTATATGAAACAAACCTAAAATTGTCAACAGATAAATGAATAAGAAAAATACAGTATAAATGCACAGTTGTAATTTATGGAACCATTTAAAAAGATGAAATAATGACATTTATGGAAAAAACAGATGCAACTGGAAATTGTATCATTAAGTGAAACTTTTAAAAACACTACATGATTTTTCTCATATGTGGAACATTTATTTATTTATTTATTTATTTATTGGTTAAATAACTCCATGGGAAGTGCTTTTATTTTTTTCCTTAATGTGATACCCATGCTTTACTGGTAACACAGAATAAATCAATACTGCTTTTAATCTGCAAGCTTATCTGAGCAATTACCTTGATCTTTTTCTTTCTTCCCATCTGTTTAACAATGCCTGTGTTTGTCACCAGGAAAGTTCGCATACCAAGTCAGTCTCAAAAGGAATGTTCAATTCCTCACTTCAGTCTTCTCTATAAATTTGCAACAACACTGATAGTTTCATTATTCTTGCTCTTCATTTTCACTCACATAAAATTATTTAGGTATATAGGTATTTTTATACACATGTGTAGGTCATGAAACTAGAAAGAATATGATTTGAAGGAAGACATGTTAATGGAGGCTAATGAAAAATATGTAACAATGCAGAACTTGGGAATAGCTTGGGGGAGGAAAGCTAACCAGTTGGAGTTGGGGAGGGGTGCAGAGAAAGGCAGTGGGGTAGGGGAATGATAAGGAGCAAAGTATAATGACATAGATAATATATATGAATATGCCATGATGAAATCTATTATTCTGTATTTTTGTTTGTTTGTTTTGTTTTGTTTTCCAGAGCTGAGAACCAAACCCAGGGCCTTGTGCTCGCTAGGCAAACACTCTACCACTAGGTTAAATCCCCAGTTCCCAAGATCTATCATTTTGTATTCTATCCTTAATTATTGATAAAAATATCAAAGGTAGGGGTCGTGAAGGGGAGGAAATGCTGGGATTCACAGAAGTTGGCTAGCTGAGGTCACACAGGACAGTATCACCAGTGGCCTGATTCTAGGCTACGGTGTGCCTCTATAACATATTTCTGATGATTGACCAATATTGCGCAAACATCTTTGTATGACTGGGTTCATCACTTGTGGTATAGATACTGCCTTACTTTATATTATATAAAGGAGGAAAACCCAGTAGATAAAGATAAACAAAGATTTTGTAATCTTGCTATCCCACTTGGGTGCCGAGGCTTGTGTCACTTTGGTACCGTGTGTACAGACAGTGTCAGGCACCATCTGTAAGTGTTCTTAGTTGTCATTCCACAGTGTTTCCAAAATGGAACATTGCATTTCTGGTCTTCCACAATGCTTTTAATGTCATTGGATTTTCCATACCACAAATAGAAAAGATGTGAAGGGATGAAGAGAATTTTTAGATGCAGTGCCTTTGTTTTTATGATCCGTCTGTAAGTGTATCCCTGACAATCACACTGGAGCTGTCACTTTGCCCTGATGATGTCAACAGACACTTGGATTTCTGTAAAAGAGGGATTTCTGAGTCAAACCTGTTTCCTTCAACTGGGTTACTCCAGCTCCCAAATCAATAAAACCCAAACAGTGATGTTTGTGCCTTGACAGAATCATTTCTGATGCCTGTGTAACGAGGCTCTTATTTAGCATCTTCAAATTATTTCCTATGTTTAGCACAAATGAGTTAAGCTGTTCATATTCTAAAAGAAAAAACAAAACAACAACAAGAAAACAGAATCCCTTACCACACCCTCTTTAACCCACTGAGCCATGCGACTCTCAAGTGTAATTAGTGCTCAGACACTGAGACTCCAGTTAAGTTCTGTTTATAAGATGAAAGCTCATTCCTGACCCATAAGGGTGCATTTATAGAAAATTATCTTACCAATCTAAAGACTTAAAAATTGATCAGCATTTCTAATGTATCTCCTATTGATCAAAGCAATGCAATTTTATATGACATAAAGTACATAATTTCTATATTAATTATAAATCATCTTAATTGACAGTAGTAAAATATGAGATTCCATATTAATTGTACCTTGTCTTAATGAACAGCAGTTCTGATTATTATTCACTTATCACAGATACACTTACACTTTAAATAAGGGTAATGATAAACCTAATTGTATAAATATGATACATTAACTACAAGATTGGTGTTTGTTTATTTGCTTATTTTTTTTTGAGACAGGGTCTTACATAAACCAGGCTTGCCTCAAGCTTACTATATATTACAGGCTGTCCTTGACTTTATGATCCTCTTACCTTCACCATGAGGGATGGGTTGGAGGCATGTACCACCATGGGACATTCTGACCTCATTAACTTTTTCTAAAGGTCTTTAGTGTTAGTTATCCTCTCACCTTGTTCACTTCTCTGTCCTGGCTTCCCATCTCACACCCTGTTTGACGCTCCTGGGCTTGCCCTTGGCGTTGCCCAACCTTTTTCTGTAGGCCCAGTACATAGTGCTAGTTTTCAAACTTGTTCACATGACATGCCTTGCCAAAGTTCACATTTGTCTTGTCTTGGGCAAAAGAAATGAGAAGTAATGAAATAACTATGATACAGCACTAATGTGTTTCTGTCATGAAATTTCCTCTGCCAAACAGATTAATCATTTTCTTTAAATTCAACGTCCTTTGATTTCTCAGAACAAGGACAGAATGAAGCCAGATTCTCAGCCGGAATATCTCATATGCATGCCCAAGACCAATTCAAAGCAGAGTCATTTCCCCCTCTAAAACCTCGGGATCGAGGTCTTTACTGCCTGTGTTTCTCTGGCATTACTGTCTTCCAAGCTTCCACAAGAACAGTCCATTTCTCTCTGCTCTGTGCTCAAGGGCTTTGCTCACACAAAGTACAAACTATTCCATACTCCCCCCTGTGAACTAGTTCCAAAGGCCTAAGAATCACATTTATGATGACAAACTTGACAGGAACAATTTTCTGAATTGGTTGCCTTTCTTGTGATCAAATACTGGACAAAAGAAAATTCAGGAAGAAAGAATTGATTCTGGCTTGCAAAGCAGAGTGTAGTCTGTCATGGTGGGAAAAACAGTGTCAAGAGCTTAAAACTGCTGGCCATGTTGCTTCTATAGGCAAGAAGCAGAGGATAACTATTGATCATCAGCTTATTTGCTCCTGTTTATTCGCCTGGCAGTAGAGGTGAATTTTCCTTCCTTCAGTGACCTAAATCAGAAAATCCCCCAAGGACAAGCTCAGATATTTAAGGTGACTCTGTATCTTGTCACTTTGACAATCACTATATATAATCCATCACTCATGTGCTCTTCTTACTTTGGGCTTTTCTGATACTTTTCTCTTGATAGAGCTATATTAAAAGTTGGGGTGGGGTGCAACATTAATAAAGTAAACACTATCACCTCAGATTAACAGTACATCTTACCAAGTTAGGTTACCTTCATTGATATTAACTCTGATTTAATTTAAGACCCTTTAAAAAAACATTTATAAAGATTTCATGATGCTTGAAATTGCTTGAAAAATGAAGTTGAGTCAGAATTTTGCCTGGTGAGAAGCATCACTGTTTCTAAAGAAGGGACATTTTCAGAGCAGTATTTTACGTAGCAGCAGTGAGCCGAAATAAAAAGGATAAATGTTAATTTTTTTTACATTTCCACTTTTTTTCCAATTTAGATCTGAACTAATTCTATCCATATATTTAAAGGTATTTTTATTTTCATTTTATTTATTCATGCATCTTGGTGCCATTTAAAAGATTTTTAAATTTGGTTTGTTTAGTTTGGGCTGGTTTAATATAAATGCAATTTAAGTGACCATAGGTAAGAAACTGTAACATGAGAGTATCTTTTCCCGGGTTGGTCCCAATGCCCTTCAGCCCCAAATGAACACACAGATGATGTATCAGTTATAAAACTGTTGGACTAGTGGCTTGGGCTTCTTATTGGCTAGGTCTGTCTTAATTATTAACCCATTTCTATTAATCTATGTATTTCTACATGGACTTAGAGAAATCCATCTTACTGGAGAACACCTGGCCATCGTTCCCTCCCGGGCTCCACAGTGTGACTCTGTGGCGGGCTCCATCTGCCTACCTTTCCCAGAACTCTCCTTGTCTCCTCAATCCGTCTATCTTCCTGTCTCATTGGCGAACAGTGTTTTATTCATTAACCAATAAGAGAAACATATATAGAAAAAGACAACCCCATCAAGAAACTCACTGGACATGGTGAGGAGGGGTATATAAAATATTCTGAGTTCCCAATGCAGTTATACACTAATAACTATTTTGAAATTCCTGAAATAAAGGACTCACATTATCTTTGTCATAAAGTTATGACTACAGAGGCAAGACATATAGAAAACTGTCAAACAAAACTTGCTGTTGAAATTTCTGAGAAAGAGTTTAAAAATATATCCCATGTTAAAGCATAGACATTATATGTAGGACAAATGCTGTTAATAGTCATTACAAAACAAACTGGAAATCACCAATGATATGCACATAATATAAAACTAACCTAACTGAACACAAAAGAGTTCTGATAAAACATTTGATAATTACAATTTGAACTTACACCATGAGGTGCCTTCTATGTGGTCAAAATGATACAGAGGTCCAGTGAGAAATTTGCTAGCTGTGATAATGGGCAAACAATGCTCACATTTTCCCAATCCGGTAACTAGGGTAAGAATTAGTATAGAGACTCACTTCCATAACTTCTGAGAAAGTCATAATTTGAACTGTCAACATCTAGGGGGATTCTCCCATGAGTGTTCTCTGTACAAGAGTACAACATGCTGAAAACTAAACAAATCTCTTCAAAGTGGAATTTTACACCGTCAGATGGGCTGCCTCTGATTTTTGACTCCTTATAGGTTTTCAGAACAATATTCCTTCCAGACAGCAGAGTCCTTAAGGATTCCCCAGAGACAGCAGAGACCTGAGACATTTCTCTGCCTGTAGGAGGGGATCTGCTGTCATCTGTTCAGAGGCTCCATTAGTGGTACTTAAATACTTCTCAGAGGAGGAATCAAGTGTTGGAATTCACTTCCCTATGGGTTTAGAAATATTGATTATGAGTTTTAAAAGAGCCAAAAAATCATAATGACATTCCCTGAGCCATATACTTTGTTCTAATTAACAAAATTTGTAATATCTTCAAATAAAGTTCAAAACAACGAGAATTTACATGAATGACATGGAGTCACAGACTAAGTCCCCGTGTGATCAATGTCTACAGTGGAATTTTATGAAGTAACCTCAATGCTCTAAGTAATTCTTGGTTTTATTTTTGACAAAGAGTGGCTTTGTATTTTGAATCAAGTTTTCAAGGCTAATGAGTGGTAAATCCAACATACAAATCTCGTATTTTCCAGCTGCGAGCTTCTTCTAAAGTTGTAACATTAAATCACATTTATTAACTTTAGAGAGACCTGAAATGTTTTGTGTTTAAAAGACCAAGAAACCATTATAAACTAAAGTCTTTCCAAATTATTATTGTTAATAGATTTTATCAATCAAAGTGTAATTGTCTCAGTTGATAGATTAAAATGGACACTAGAGTTGAGTTCACAGTGCTAAAAGCTTCTTGTACACATGCCTTCAAGTGACAAACACTACTAGATACTTTACAATTCTCTATCCCATATGAAATATTTGTTTAACAGTGTGATTATTCTATTTTTCAAATTAGAAAACTGCAGTTTAAAGTAATAATAGCGTGTGTGTTGAGCCACAGCTCAGAACTATAGGGCCAAAATTGTGACCATGCAAGTCAAGATAATTCTTGGTCCATGAGCTCTGATACATTGTGGACTTTATTAATCTAATCATGTGGACTTCAGGATAAACAAACTGTTGTGAGCATTTTACCCTGTTATATAAATGATATGCATGCTGAGCCAAATATTCAGTATTTCATGAGTACTTGAAATTTAGAAATGAATTTATAGAATTCAATGTAAAGTGAAAAATCATGTATGTGTGTGTGTGTGTGTGTGTGTGTGTGTGTGTTTATAAAGCTACAGGCAATTAACAACTGCTGAGAATGCCTGTTCTAGAGACGGACCACTTGATAGATGATCCAATCTCAAGCAGACACAGACCTAAACACATGCACATATGTGGAACACTAAGTGAACTTACTAGGTTGCGTTCATAAATGTGTGTGTGTGTCTTTGTGACTATATAAAACAATAATAACTAAAGAATAAGAGGTCATGAATTTGAGGAGTCAGAAGGACATAAAAGGAGTTAAAAGAAAGAACAGGAGGGAGTAAATGATGAAAATATAACATTAAAATATGAAATTATCAAAATAAGTGCATATTTAAATAAATAAAACAAAAATGAAATAAGTCATCTTTATTTCTGGGGCTGATAAAAATGATTTTTTTCTTTTAATATCCTCGCTTTGGTAGGAGATTTTGTTATCTACTGCTGAAAGTGGGCAATTCAGCTTTCTAAAATAAATGCTAGAAAGGAAAACGTACCTCCAGGTTAGTCTAACACAGCAACCGGTCTTCCTTGCCTCGCTGGTTGCTTAGCAGCAGATTGTCTGAGGTTGTATTAGAGCTGACAGGTCTGAGGGGTGATTGACTACGTAGAATTCTCTGAGGTGGGCACTGTATGTCTTGAATATAAGAGAGAAAGATTCAAAAGCATGTTTGCTGATGGTGATGAAATCATGACAGAATTAAAATAAAAATTAATATGACAAAAATTTTACTCCTAGAGTATATTCTAGGAGACCATGTATATTTTGTTACTCATTTACTCTTTTTATCATTTTTTTTTATTTTGAAACAATCTGTTCTCATTTTATATGCCTGATGGGGGAAGTCCTTCTGTTGATAAATAAAGCACTCTTGGCCAATAGGGAAGCAAGATAGATGGACTAGGAGTCCAGGAGGATTCTGGGAAATGCAGTCAAGAGTGGAGACTAGCCATGTGACCCCTGGAGGGGAGGATGTGTCAGGGTGGTGTCCTCAAAAAGATAAGTCCTTATAAAAATATATATTAGTAATTATGGATTAATAATTACATCAGAGCTAGTCATTAAGAAACCATAGCAAATGGCCAACAGCTTCATAATTAATATAGTGTCTCATGTGTTATTTAGGGGCTGAAACAGCAATGGGGCCCAGACTGCTGACTGGAAGAACACACATTACACATGCCAATCCAAGTTCTCACTCCCTCCTTTCCTCCTGCTCTCCCAACTTTCCCCCCACTCCACCCTCCATCCTCTCCTCAGAGAGGGTAACACTTCCCGTGGAGAGTCAAGGAAGTCTGGCACATTTCTCTGATGTAGGACCAAGCACCCCCACCACATATCTAGGCTGAGCATGGTATTCCTCCAAGAGAATTGGCTCCAAAAAGCCAGTTCAAGCACTAGGATTAAATCGTCTGTCCAGTGCTTAGCTGTGGCTCTCTGCTTCTGCTTCCATCAGTTGCTGAATGATGGTTCTATGATGGTAATTCAGGTAATTGCCAATCTGATTATAGGGGAAGGCCAGTTAGGATACCATCTCCACTAATGCTTAGGGTCTTAGCTGGGGTCATCTTTGTGGATTCCCTGGAATTTTCTTAGTGCTAGGTTTCTTATTAACCCCTTAATGGCTCCTCAATCAAGATATCTCTTTCCATGCTCTCCCTCTCTGGCCTTCCCCCATCTCTACCATCCCATTCCCTCATGTTCTCCTCCCTCCTTCTCTTGTCCCCTCTGCCCTTCCACCTTACTTCTCTGACACCCTCAGCACGTTCCCAATTTTCTCAGATCTTGTCTATTTTCCTTTCCCAGTGGGACCCATGCATGTCTCTCTTAGGGTTTTTCTTGCTACCCAGCTTCTCTGAGGTCATGGACTATAGACTAGTTATCCTTTGCTCTATATCTAAGTGAGTACATACAGTGTTTGTCTTTCTGAATCTGGGTTACCTCAATCAGGATGTTGTGTGTGTGTGTGTGTGTTTTTTTGTTTTTGCTTTTGTTTTTTGCTAGTTACATCCATTTCATGATGCCATTGTGTTTTACCTCTGGGTAGTACTCCACTCTCCACTGTGTAAATGTATCACATTTTCCTTATCTATTTTTTGTTTGAAGGGCATCTAGGTTGTTTCCAGGTTCTAGCTATTATGAATAATGTTACTATGAACACAGTTGAGGTAGTGTCCATGTGGTATGAGAATGCATCCTTTGGGTATAGTCCTAAGAGTGGTATTGCTAGAACTTGATGTTGATTGATTCCCAATTTTCTGAGAAACTGCCATACTGATTTTCAAAGTGACTGCACAAGTTTGCACTCCCACCAGTATTGGGGGAGTGTGCCCTTACTCTGCATCCTCTCCAGCATAAGCTATCTGTTGGGGAAGTCCTGTGCATTTGTCAATAAAGTACTGTCTGGCCAATAGGGAATCTAGATAGGAGGGACTAGGAGTCCAGGAGGATGCTAGGAAGGAGAAAAAGGAGAGTCAACATGTAACGCCATGGGGTAGGAGCCCGGAACTATTCTCCGGTAAGAGACATACTTAGATTAGCAATTATGGGGTAATTACTTAAAGCAGAGCTAGCCAGTAAGAGACAAGAAAGGCCAACAGCTTCATAACTAATATAGCCTCCTGTGTGTTTATTTGGTACTGGTGCGGCTCTGGAACCAGGCTGGCAGGAAATGCGGCAGAGCCCAGGTGACTGGCGGAGAATAGTTCCAGGCTCCTACCCCATGATGTTACATGTTGACTCTCCTATTTCTCCTTCCCAGCATCCTCCTGGACTCCTAGTCCCTCCTATCTAGATTCCCTATTGGCCAGACAGTACGTTATTGACAAATGCACAGGACTTCCCCAACAGCTATCATTGGTGTTTTTTATCTTAGCCATTCTGACTGATGTAAGATAGTATCTCAGAGTCATTTTGATTTGTATTTCCTTGATGGCTAAGGGTGTTGAGCAATTCCTAAAGTGTCTTTCAGTCCATCTGAGATCCTTTTGCTAAGAATTGTTTAGATCTGTACTCCATTTTTAAAATTGGATTATTTAGTAGTTTTACCATCTAGTTTCTTGAGTTCTTTACATGTTTTGGACATCAGCCTTCTGTCAGATGTGGGGTTGGTGAAGATTTTTTCCCATTCTATAAGCTGCTGTTTTGTCTTACTGACTGTGTCTTTTGGCTTACAGAAGCTTCTCGGTTTCAGGAAGTTCCATTTCTACATTGTTGCTCTCAGTGTCTATGCTACTGGCATTATACTTAAGAAGTGTCAGGGTGTCCATAGATTCAACTCCATCCCCCTGCATAGAACTCAAGTCCATATGAATCAAAGACCTCAACATAAATCCAGCCACACTGAACCTCATTGAAGAGAAAGTGGGAAGTAGTCATTTACTCTTTTGCTTATCATCTCTCCTCTCCTTTTTGGTCACCTGTCATCTTCCTTCTAGTCTCTAAACATTCTCAATCCCTCTCTTTCCATCTCTTTCCCTTCCTTTCCCTCCCCCCTCCTCTCTCTGTCTCTCTGTCTCTCTCTGTCTCTGTGTCTCTGTCTCTGTCTCTCTCTCTCTTTTCCCTCTTTTCCTCCCTCCCTCCAAACATTTTCACTTATTCCAACTGTTCTTTTGCCCAATGATAACATGATAGAGTTCTAAATGTTTATGTTTATGATTATTACCAATGATCTATATTGGGTATGTTATGTTTACCCCTTCCAACTTTTAATGGAAATTTTTAAGCTTCTATTTTGTGTGTTCTTCAAATAAAACAAAACTTTAAAACTTTAAATTTAAAGCAAATTTCTTCTGTTTTGACTAAGAAAATACCTCCATTAATTTGTGCATGCTCACAAAAATATATATTTAATTTGAAAGTGGTTCTTGGGCCAGCAAGATGGTTTCCTGAGCAAGAGTTCAATTCCAATGAACCACATGACAGAACGAAGGAACAACTGGCCCCTGCAAGTTTTTCTCTGATCTTCCCACTCCCCATAATGCACATTTATTTAATTAGTTCTTAATGAAAAGTTCCCATTCCCAACTAATGGATCTTAAAAGAAGACATGTTAGGCCCTTCCCATTTCAGAATTACTGGGTATGCTCAAGTATCTGTGTTATTTAAGTTACATAGGTAACTCCTGTATGTACTGTTGTCAAAAACCAAAACGCAGATAGGATAACTGTGATGTAAACATGTTGTGGAAGTCTTACTTAATTACTCCTTGATGGCTGTCTAACATAAATTAGAAAAAAATTAAATTCCAATATTTAGGAAATTATTAGGAGCTAAGACTCATTCATCCCATACTAAAATTTCTTGGTTTATGTAAGGTAAAATGCCTGTACACAGAATCCCATCATGGGGGAATTAATAAGGGTTACTAGGGCATTTGATGTTGTGAAAAGACATACATCTCAATGCCCAGACTCAGCTCACACCTGGTATGCTGTCCAGTGTTCCCTTAAATTGAAACAGGAGAACAATCTTCCCACCTGTCACTTTGTTCCCTAGTCATATACTAATAAAAAAAAGTTGCAAATTGTTGGCAATTTATCCCCAAATAATTTTAAATGTTCTAAGTAGGTGAATTTGGAAAGATACGAAGCAGTTAGAATTCCAAGGGTCCAAGGCAGTTGATGGGTGTTTTCTACACTAGAAGCTGCATATTGGCTTATTTGACTCAAGATAGAAGTTCAGGGTCTCCCTGTGATTTATACCCTACTTTTGTTTCTTCTAATTAATATTGAACATCACACTGCTTCATAGTTGAATAGAGGAATGATATTAGAAAGTATGGAAAATATTTCCTGAAACATTGTTGAGTAGACAATCCTTGGATTAACCAATTTGTTTTCTTTTGTCTTCCTACACTTGTTGACTCTCATTCCTCCTTTCCAATCATGTTAATAATGTCTGTGGGTGGTGCCTTCTGCTTCCATTCCTTACCTCATCTCCAGTATGCTCTTCAGACTTGTGGTCTAGGTGTTTTCTCCACTCTGGTTTCCAATAGTTTCATCAGATTACCTGCAGTATATCATTCTTGTCACTACATAGGAATACAGACATTAAGGGTGGATACCCTTATGAAAAAGGCCATTTTTGTTAATTAGAAGCTAGCATTTTATGACTAAAAATATTTTTGAAGAATAAAACTGAAACAGGGTGGGTAGACAGACATAAATGATACATAAATTGATAGATAATAGACATATAGATACTATGTAAATATATTCTAGTGTAAGAGTTCAGAGTTCAGTATGCCTCCATATTTATTTAAACTTTTGAAAGTTCCAGGTACCAACATATCATATTTAATTTTTCCTTTTGGCAATTGCCTAAATAACTCTTTACTGTAAGATTACAGACAAGTGGACAAAAGAGTAATGAAATTAGAAAGTGTTAACTTTGCAGTATTGCAATTTAACTCTAAAGAACATATAATAATATTTACAATAAAAAGCATGATGGCTTTTTGTTGGTGGTATTTCTGGACCTGCCAGGACCCACCACTTCAGTCCCAAATGAACACACAGAGACACTATATTAGTTATAAAACTGCTGACCAAAGGCTTGTGCTTCTTACTGGCCATATCTGTCTTAATTACTAACTCATAACTGGTAATCTATGTATTTCTACGTGGTCTTATCTTACCAGAGAAAGCCTGGCATGTCCTTTCTTCCTGGTCCCTACATGGCATCTGCCTGAGGTGCCTCTGCCTACCCCTACCAGAATTTTCCTTGTCTCCTTGTCCTGCCTATCTTCCTGCCTCTATTGGCCAAACGCTGTTTTATTAATCAACCCATAAGTGAAGCATATATACAGAAGGACAACACCCATCAGCCTTTTGGTTGAAACTAGCAGTTAAACTTGGTAGTACCAAAAATTGATTTGTTTGCTAAAAGAATAAAAATAATAAATAAAATAATTAAAAATGTGATCAGAATACTTTGTTTAAAAGTATGTATTAATTTTTATATGACCATGGCATTTTATCGTATAAAGTATTTAAGACTAAAGTAACAGGAATAACCTAATAGCCCATAATTAGGGTGGGCAGAGAGTAAGGCTGCTCTGCATGAAGGCTGACAACCTGAGTTTGATCTTCAGGACTCACATGATGGAAGGAAAATGCTGATTCATGAAAGTTGTGACCCACCCCACACCATATGGGGTACAATATGATTTCAACATTTTATTAAAGAAACATATACACACTTAAATAATGTAATAAGTTTTATAAAAGAATAACTACTAATTGCAGACCAGTAATTGCTTTTATTACACACATTGCATACTGAGTACTGAATGTACTTCTATGTATTTCCATTTTCAGTTTAAAATGTGTAGAAGTGAGTTGCTTTCCATCAATTATCCACTATGAACTGTTCACAAACCATTTGTCTACTCAAGTAAGCATTCTTAAAAAGCTGTTCAGGTTTTTCTTTTATATTCAATTTCTTATTTAATAAATTCTGACTTTTGTATTGATTACAATTTTATTTAGTACAAAAACATTTCAATAAACATCTTCATAATTGTAAGGAGGAATTTGACATTATTGGCTTTGGATAAATTCCTTGAAGGGAAAACATTATTAAGAATCATCAGCCAATGTGTTCAAGACTTTTGCTAGATCTGCAAAATATCTATGCATACAGCTGTGTACCTAGTTTATTCATGTTTAGATATTTCATCTCAAATATCATTATTATTTTATTAATACCCTTCATAAATTAAAAAAACTACAGTTTGCTTACCATACTTTAGTCTGACATAGATAACTTGAAATGGTGATTACATATTTGTGTATTTACAGTCATTTTGTTCTTTGTTGAGTTTTGCATGTTAATATACTATTAGGTTAACACTTTATTGAGGAAATACTTTCACCTGTCATTTTTATTATATGTTCTTTAATTTCTCTAAATGTCTTCCACTCTTCAATATTATGTGGTCTTACCTTTTTCTCTGTCAATTACATCTTTCATTTACCATTTTAAAGAGTTTTGGGTGACTGTAGTTATGGCTCAGTGATTAAGAGCACTGGTTGCTCTTTCACAGGACTTGGGTTCCAGTCACAGCACCCACATGTTGGGTCACAACAATCTGCAGCTCCATTTCCAGGATATCTAAGGGCGCTGCATCTCCATGATGTGCAACATGCCCGCAGGCAAAATACCCACACATGTAAGGTTAAATAAACTTTAAAAAGTGTTTCTGCACCTTTAGAATTTCATTGTCATTAGAAGTTTTAGCTTAAACTTCAAGATTTATTTAAATCTTTGTTCAGAAAAATCCATTCTTTGGATTTACTGTATCTGACAATAAGAACAGTGCTACTTCATTTGACAAGCATTGAAGAACATCAATGATTTTATATATATAATTAAAACCCACAGATAGATATTAGGGCTCAAGCTGAAGATCAAAAAAGCAAAACATCCAAGCCACTAGTGAGTCCTTACCTCTGTAGCACAATTAATAAAACCTTAAACAAATATTGGGGATCAAGCTGAAGATCAGAAAAGCAAAACAGCCAGTCACTAGAGAGTTCTCACCTCTACCAATGCTCAGACCAAAGGAGTGATCCATTGAACCTCAGATTTCATCTCTAAACTGCATTGCTTTCCACAAAGCCTCAAAATCCTAGACTTTTTCTGAGACTGCACTGAGCTCCTTATATAAACTCTAGTGCTGAGATTAATGTCATGAGCTCCAATTCTCTGTTATATTGATTTATTCTCATGTAGCACTGGGTGGCCTTGAACTCAGAGAGATCCATCTGCCTCTGTCCCCTGAGTCCTGGGATTAAAGGTGTGTGCCACCACAACCTACATTCTATAGCTAACTAGTGTGGCTGGCTTTGTATTCTGATCCTTCAGGCAATCTTTATTATATCATAAATAATACATCACCACATACCTCTATGAAATCTTCAGACTGAAAGAAGATCCTGCCATCACAAATTCTCAGACTGTAATCCTCTGAGTTCCTGTCTCCTTCCACTTTATGTTCCTCTCTCCGACAAGCCCTGTTACTCAAGCCTCCACCTCCCTAGTCCTGGGATTAAAGGTGTGAACTCTGTTTCTCTGTTTACTGATTCACTCTCATGTAGCACAGGGTGGCTTTGAACTGACAGATCCTGCCCCTGCCCCAACCTATTGTGCCAGAATCTGTTGACTCCTGAGTCCTGGGATTAAAGGTGTGCACCACATCTGTCTGGCCTTTGGCTGTGGCTAGCTTTGCATTCTGATCTCCAGGAAAACTTTATTAGATAATAAACAATATGTCAATATTGTATGTATATATATAATACAGATAAAAAGTAAAGGGAATTTAAAATATTTTCTCTAGAAATTGTAATTTTTGCTTTACGTTAGAGTTGTTAGAAACAAACATTTTAAAAAAGAAGTAATATGCCGGGCGGTGGTGGTGCACGCCTTTAATCCCAGTACTGTGGAGGCAGACGCAGGCGGATCTCTGTGAGTTTGAGGCCAGGCTGGACGTACAGCCTCCAAAACAATACAGAGAAACCCTGTCTTGTAACCCCCCCCCCAAAAAAAGGAGTAATATGCACTTCTTGCCCGGCAGTGGTTCTTCTTTTTTTTTTTTACATTCTTTTTTTATCATTTTTTATTTTAATTTTAAATAGCTTGTTTTACATGTCAATCCCAGTTCCCTCTCCCTCCCATCCTCCCGCACTCCCCTACCCCCCCTCCCTCCCACCCTATTGCCAAATCCTTCCACATAGGGGATATCTAGAGTCTGTCATTTTACTCTTGGTAGGGTCCAGGCACTCCCCTAAGAGTCCAGGCTGAGAGAGCATCTCTCTTTGTGCTATAGGCACATGAAGACAGTTTGTATACCAGGGATAGACACTGATCCACAGCTCAGGGCCCCATAGGTTGCCCAGGCCTTCTCACTGACACTCACATTTGGGGGGTCCAGATCAGTCCCCTGCTGGCCTCCCCACTGTCGGTCTGGGGTCCAAGAGCACTCCCCTGTTCAGATCAGCTGTCTCTGCTGGTTTTGCCAGCCCATTCTTTGCCAATTTGCTCATCGCTCCTCTCTCTCTGTCACTGGGTTCCTTGGGTTCAGTTCAGTGATTAATTGTGTGTTTGCCTCTGCTTCCATCAGTCACAGGATGAAGGCTCCCAGATGGTTATAGACATCAAGTTCATTATCAGGAATGGGCATTCGAGGTGGTCCCTCCACTATTGCTTAGCTGGCCAATTGGTGTTATACCTTTAGATCACTGGAGGTCACTCTGGTGCCTGATCTGTCTTCCATCCTATGATTCCCTCTTCCCCCTATTCTACCCCCACCCCTCAACTTTCTGTTCCCCCATGACCAACTCCCTTCCTCTTTACCCCCTCTATTCTTCCCAGGTCCCACTCCCCCCCACCCCTCGCTGTGTTCCCCATCCATTCAGAGGATCTTGTCTCCATCCTCTTCTCTTGGGTACTATGCATATCTGCATATCTTTTAGGTTCTTTCCTGTTTCCCAGACTCTCTTCATAGCGTGTGTTTACATATACATTGCCTCTTATTATTGAATCTGTTGTTTTATTGCTATTTGTTTGGATTTGAAACCCCGAGCCAAGCCCTTGTGCATGAAAGGAAAGTACTCCACCGGTCCATTAGTGACTTTCTTTTTACTGTAAATAACACCTGACAAGAAGCAAACACTCAGGAAAGGCAAGACTAAATTTACTCACTCAGTGCTCAAGGATACAGTCCACTATGGCTGTCAACTCAAAGAAGAATGACCTTGCGGCCGTTGGTCACACTGTGTCCATACTCAGGAAGCTCAGAATAGTGAATGCTGGGTTGATGGTAGCTTTCTCCTTTTTATGAAGTCCTGGATCCCAGACCATGAAACGGTGCTGCTCATACCCAGGGAAGGTCTTCCTACTTCAATTAATCTAATCTAGATACACCCTCCCAGTCATATCCGTAGGCTAACCCAACACATATAATCCCTCACAGTCGAGTTCAGGGTCCTGTCTCCTAGGCAGCTGTGGATCCCATCAGATTGGCTATCA